TGTCTTACAGAATTTAACCGTAATTTAGAAGTTTAAATGTTTTGCTGTGGTTTTGCGATTTTTATTTTTTGCAAGCGTAAGGGTTCGTCGAAGTAAATAAAAAGTTTTTAAAAAGACAATTTTTAATACACATATGTATATTGTGTATAAAAGTTGACTTTTACAAATATTATATTGTTTGTATGTATAATATACATAGTATATTATACATACAAACAATGCAACCGGTATATTGTTTAAGTTACGTTCAGTTACCGTTACTAACGGCGATAGTTGTATTTAGGCTCTAATATATTAGTAGTATAGGCGTCATTAAAATAAAAAAATACTTGTACTGAAGTTATAAAAATGTAAAAATTACAAATTAAAAAAACCCTTTATAGTTAATTTTTAATTTTACTTAAAAGATATATGCAAATGTAAGTATATACATACGCACACACAAGCACAAACACATACATACAAACATTCACATTACATAAATATACAACGCCGTCAATAAATATTCAAATAGCATATTTTTGAAAATTCTTTAATTTTTTAATTTTTGTTTTTGCATTAATAGGAAATTTAAGTAATATAAAAGTATTTCGTTTGAACTATTTTGATGAAAAATAATAAAGTTAACAAAAGACACCTGAAACGGGGCACGTGTCTGAGCTAACGGCGAGAGCAATATCCCTTAAATACTGCTCCTTACTCAAATTAGATGAATCATCAGATGGCAAGATTTTAACAGACTTGATATCAATATGGCTATTGTGCCATATATTGTGATATATATATAATATATTGTGCCATATATTGTGCCATATATTGTGATATATATATGAATCATAACAAAGATACTTTTCGTTGAAACTGCTGAAACATAAATATCAGAATACAGCATTTGCAGCTTTATACATACCTGCGCTGCGATGGAAGAAAACGCCACCTTTCATAAATGCAGCATTTAATAACATCCTCTTTTGTTGGAAGCATCCTGGCTAGGGTTTCCAATTGGTTTTAACCGATAACCGAAAACTGCGGTTTTTTGTCAAAACCGATTTAAATAAAAACCGTCGGTTTTCAAACGGACTTAGCGGGTTTTTTTGTATTTATTTTGCTGGAAAGCTTCACATGTCTTTTCATTTTCAAAATTGTATAAGTATTCCAAAAAAAATGTTCGAATATCGAAAAAAACACTCAAATATATTCCAAGATAAATCTTTCGAATACTCAAATAGGATAGCCTATTCTTTATATTAAAGATTTTTATTCCTTAAAAAAACATACAGATATTTTTAGTGTATATTATGGTTCCATAAAGTATTAACGTATAGGTATGTAATAAAAATAAATCACGATAATGCTTCTATCAATTATTTGATTTTTTGAAAATATAATTATTTCCCAGATAAACCACGTTCTCAGTTTGGAAATTTGCTGTCCGGCGTAAAATTCAAAATCAATAGATTTTGAAGGCATCTGTAGTAGATGGGGTTCTGTTGTAACATGCTCTGGTGGGTCCAAAACTACTTTGTGGAATCATACTTTGCGTCAGGGAATTACTATCAATAGTTCTTCAACTGGAGAATCAAGCAGCAGCTCAAATCCAGCACTGAAAAAATAATAAAAACATGGACAGTTATTCACAAAAACGAGCCTTAAAGAAGTTATAGCTGATCAGCTGATGCAGCTTCAGATGGTGTTTCGATTAATATAATAACTAACAACAACTTTATTTTTAATTCAACAAAGAGAAAATTATCTACCTAAAAGTCCAACAACTGTGATGAACTTAAACCCAGGGATGTGGAGTCGTAAAAAATAAGTAACGACTCCGACTCCGACTCCAGTTGTTGAAATTTTTTGAGTACAACTCCGACTCCAACTCCAACTCCGACTCCGACTCCAAAGCAAAACTTTAGAAAAATTCTTTGAGTTCTTTAAAAAATATTATGCAATAAGTTGAAAAAAATTTTTTAACAAATTTATGAAACGTTTTTTGAGGTTTAGTATGAACATAAGGTTAATTGAATGTTTTATACATGCACGTGCAATACCGAGAAGTTTTACGATTGGAGTCGCGATTTTGTTTAGCGACTCCGACTCCAATTCCGATTCCGCTAAATAATGTCGTAACTCCGCAACTCCAACTCCACAGCCTTGCTTAATCCATCAAGATTTTGTGATAAAAAGGAAGTGATGAAACAAGAATTATTTAAAAAATTAAAATGGAACAAAAATTCAGCTTAACGCTTAATGAATACACATCTTTGAGACACAGAAAGTACATTAGTGTCAACCTGCATGAAAGCGAATATAAGAAAACTTTTTAAACTGGCCTCATTAAGATTTATGGTTCCTGTCCAGCAAGTTTAATACAAAATATTAAGGATCATTTAAATTCATTTAGTATATGGAAAGAGATGTAGTAGGTTCTACTTATGATGGTGTAGCAATCAACAAGAAGCTTTTGCAATTAACGGACGTTGTTGATCCGTTTTGCTTTAATCATGCAATTCATCTTGATGTATGCGACACATTACACAAGAAAAATAAAGACTTTATTTTTCTTGTATAACGTGTCCCATACAATTCATAATATACGCACCAACTCCCAAGGAAACGGACAGTGATTCAGAAGAGAATGAATATGGAATTTACGGTGATAATTTTAGTTTTGAATCAGTAAACAATGAGATTAATGTTGACTACTCTAAAATTTTGATCAATGCATGAAAAGTAGTAAAATTCATAAAAATGTCATCAGTCCGTAATCAAATTTTCAGAAGATAGTTACTGAGGAATTTGGTCATGACATCGAATGGCATCTGGATGTTTATCATAGTAGGAATTCACTTTTTTTAATGAGTGCGCCTTTGTTACTAACTAAGAAATGTTTATTAAAGACATTTACTTAATCAAATGCACTTGATATAATCAACAAGCTTAATTTTGAGTCATTAGCTTCATTAAATGCCGCTTTAGAGCCAGCATAAACTTGCAGTGGAATTCCTTAGCAGAGAAGATGCAACGTTTTTGACAGAAAATACTGATCTTGAATTCAGGCTTGCAAAACTATTTGCTATGAATACATATCGTATTTTTACTGCATTCAAATTTAAAAGAGCGTGTCGATGAAAGAATTGACGAAAATTTTATGCAGTTGTTAAGGTTCCTAAAAGATCCTTCAGTTGTTCGATTAAAAAATACTTATACATTTTGCTGGAAAACTTGCGTTTAAGCTTTTTTCGGATTTACTTCTAATGATAAGGAACCACTATTAGCTGAAGCACCATGTACAACATCGGAAAGTTCATCTGTTTCTCTTAAGAATGAATTAAATGCACTTTCTAATAAAGATAGTATCACACTTTTTCCCAAATCTACTGCAGCCGTATTCTCATCTCTCCGTTAAGCTTAACGGAGCGTTAGTAGAAAATTTCTTTTTAACTACATTAATAAAAAAAGTTCTTTAAAAATATAATTTTTTAAAAATAAATATTTTATTTTAGTATTAGTTTTATATTAAAAAACTTAAATAAAGTTTTTGTCATTTCTTCACTTGGAAATATTGTAATGAAATTTCAGACAAAAATTCCGTTAAGCTTAACGGAGAGTTGAGAATACGGCTGATCATTTCAAATGGCTTAAGCAAGAGTTTTTGTTGTACCGAAATACGAAAAAAAGATAAAAAAAAATTTTAATTTATAATGCAACTCTCTCTTTAAAGCCTACCTCAACAGATTTTCTCATTTTTTGAGCTGCACTTGCGTCGCACTTGTGTCCTGCACTTGTGTCCGCATTTGCGTCCGCACAAAAATCAGATCATGATTATCTGATGAATTGCGAAAAATCTTTTTTTCTTAAAACTTTTTTACAATGAAAATAAGTCATTATAAATTTTATTTCGAAAAAAACCTTTATTTAAATAACTTTTTAAATTATATAAACGCAATATTTTGGAAACCCTAATCCTGGAAGATAAGAGCTGTCTAACGCGTCTCGCTTTGAAAACTTTAAAGATTACGCCAAGCATTTTTTCTTACTGCTTGCTCAGTTCACGACCTGTAACAAAAAAAGATTATTATAAATCATTTATTAGCTGTTGATAATTTTATAACGTTAAATACCGTTCATATTTCGTAAAAGTCAAAATATTTGTTAAATTATTTATTAAATTATAAATTATTCTCACGAGAATACTAATCTAGAGTAAAAGATTCAAAAAACGAAAAGAAAAAAAATAAATTATTTATATCTAAAAGTATCAATACAAATATACTGTTTTTCCTTGATCATGAAAAAACAGTGTATTTGTCAATTTTCGGTTAATTTCAGGCTCCTTGCCAGAACAGAACACATTGTCCGTGTGGCGTCAAAATTTGCACAGTAGTTAACCATAAATACGTTCAACTTTTGCACACTATTGCAAATTGTTAAGACACTTAAAAAAATTTCCAAAAAATAAAAAAATATTTTTGAGATTTTACTAATTTTTTGAATTTTCACGTCTCTTGCCAGAACAGAAGAGCAATTTTCCGAGCTACCCCAAAAGCATTGTAAAAAAAACCCTGCGTTTTTAATTACCCCCTACTGTATATTATATTGAAATAGCAAAAAATTTCAGTATTTCGACTTCAACAGTTTGGTCAATCGAAAACAATCAACGCGTAAAATTACATCTGCCTCAAAAGATCAAAGAATTACAACAAATAGTAAAGGATTAAATTTATTAACTGTTCCGAAATTATCTCATACTTTGAATAGTTGAGAAGCTTAGGTATCTGTGACAACTGCCAATATGTGATTTATAGAAGTAAAACTTGGTGGCACAATTGTTTCAAGTAAACAGTTTCTTATGTCCAAAAATAAAAGTAAAAAGACTAGAGTAAGTTAAACTACACAAAAATGGACAATAGATGACTGGAAAAATGGACCATCAATGTGTTATGGCGCGGGGCTGTGTTGGTGGAAATGCCACAAGTAATGAACTAATTTAATGGTATTTTTTATTATAA